AAAAACCAAAAAAACAAAACAAAAAACAAAAAACAGAAATACTGGATTTAATAGAACACAAAGTAGGTAAAACTATTGAAGGCATAAACATAAGCATAAGCAAAAGTATAAGTAAGGACCATCCAGACAGTACCTCAGTGGCACAGGAAAGAATTCAAAGTATCCACAAAAGGAATAATATCTAATTAAAAAGCTTCTGACTAGCAGCAAAAACAGCCAACAGAACAAGAGAGAACCCACAAAATGAAAAACATGTCAGTTATTCCTTAGTGGAATAATATCTGGACTACATAAAGAACTAAAACCATCACAGAAGCTGCACTGAGCCTGGACAGCATCAGGAAGTTCTGTGAGCCACACCATACATTCACACTGGTGCAGGATGGGAGCTGAGCCCCAGACAGCTTTGGGAAGCTCTGTGAGCCACCCTGCACCTCAATTGGTGCAGCAGTGCAGCTAAGCCCCAGACAGTTTTGGGAGCCTTGGGGAGCCTCTCCCCGACCCTCCTACCTTTGTGGGAGAGACACTGATCCCTGGACAGCTTTGTGAAACTTGGGAAGCTACTCCCTGGCCCCCAACATCACAGGAGGGATGCCAAGCCCTGGTGAACTCTGGGAGCCTTGGTGAGCTGCCCCTGTGCCGCCACAGCATTGTGAGAGTGACAATAAGCCCCACGAAACTACAGAGCCTCAGTGAGCCACGCCATACCCCTCCACTCTCATGGGTGTGATGCTAAGCCCTGGTGAATTTTAGGAGCTTCAAAAATGTCAAAACAAAGGAGTAAAATGCAATCTCAGACCTCCAGCCCACCCAGAACAAGTCCAGGTGACAATGACAAAGAAGAACTTGGAAGTCACATACCTGAAATTCCTGAAATGATACTAAACAAACAACTCCATCCAGCCATAGAAGAAATGAGATCAGAAATAATCTCTCAGGTAAATGAAGAAATGACAATAATAATGAAAGAATTGCTCAACACATGTAAAGAAGATATGGATTAAAAAATAGAGGAGCACAGAAAAATGATGGAAACCTTGAATGAACAATATAAGAAAGAATTAGAATGCATAAAACAGATTCAAATAGATATATAGGAAATTAAAAATTCCATTAAAAGCTGGGAAAAGCACTTGAACGAAACTGAAGACAGACTTTCAAACCTTGAAGACAGCATTGCAGCTACTGATGGTGAAAGAAAGTATCTCTTAAAAATACCAAGTAGCCAGGAAATAGCAATTTAACAGAAGCAAGATGAGGCAAAGAAAACCAATATAAGACTGATAGCTCAAAAACAGCAAGAGTCAGTACAGATAACATTAAAAAAAAGGGGGGGGCTGGGGATTTAGCTCAGCGGCAAAAGCACCTGCCTGGCAAGCGCAAGGTCGTGAGCTCAGTTCCTGGTACTGGAGAAAAACCAAAAAAAAAAAAAAAAAAAAAAAAAAAAAAAAATTCGCAGAAGGAGTAGCAGAAAATTTCCCAGGCATGGAAGAAGAATCTCACATATATATTAGTGAGACATATAGAACTCCAATTAGCAATAATCAAAATAAATCTATACCTAGACAGATAATAATTAAGGTTCTAGAGATTCAGAAAAAGAACAAACTTTTAGAAGCTATTAGAGACAAGAAATAGATCACCTAAACAGGAAAGCCCATCAGAATCGCAGCAGAGTTCTCAATATAAACTATCAGTCAAGAAGACGTTGGAGTGAAGTATATCAGGTCCTAAAAGAAACCAGCTTCCAATCTGGACCCACCAGAAGAGGAGAGGAGTGCTGCACAAATCTCAGTGCATGGGAAAACATCAGGCAAAGACCCTGTGTGTGCTGGACTGACTCTAGATGGAGATATTGGAAATGTGAGTCCTGTTGTCCAGTAGACAAGTAAACAATTCTTTTAAAAATTATACCTAATCAAGGCCCTCTAGTGATTGATCTTTTTGCTTCCTTTTATGTGCTTTAGAAAAGTTGATTTCCTGCTAGGGTTGTGGCCAGATGGTCGGTCAATCATGTTTGAATCCATAACTAAAATAGAACCTTCATGGTATCTACGAGTTTCATATGTAATTGTAAAAGTATAATAAAATAAAGCAAAAACATTTCTCTGTGTCAGAGGAGCTTTGCTCCCTGCCTGACCAGAAGGACTTCTGGGGTCTGTGTTGTTTGTCTCTTCAACCACACTGTTTCCTCCTGCAGGAATCTCCTGGACCTGCTCTGGCTGGACCACAGCAGAGAAATAAGATACTTCTATGACAAATAACAAGTAAAGAAATTCATGACCACCAAACCTTACAAGAGTACAATAAGATATTCTAGAAAGAGAGAAAAATGACCACAACTTCAAGAAGAAATAGAAAGGAATCACTGAGAAGAGTAAGCGATTAAACAGAAGGGAAAGGCAAGGAACCAACAGCAAGAAAAATCACATGATAAAGATAAGCCAAAATAAAGATAAGCCAGTTACAACCACCAATGTAAATGGCCTCAATTCACCAATCAAAAGAAGCAGACTGGCCAAGAAACAATACAACAATATCCTGTATATAAGAAAGACATTTAACTTAAAAGGAAATTCATAGGCTGAAAGTTAAAGGATGGAAAGCAATACTCCATGCAACAAGAACCCAGAAAAAAGTAGGAGTAACTATCCTGTTTGCACAAAATGTGAACTTCAAACCAAGAATGATCAACAGTGATAAAGCAGGTGACTACATACTTGTTAGGGTAAAATTGCAAGAGGAAGATATAATGGTCATAAATATATATGCATCAAATATAAAAAACAAATACAGACATGAAAAATTAAATAAACAATAACATAATTATCATAGGGGATTTTAACACCCCATTTTCACAAAGAGATAGATCAACTAGACAAAAAATCAGAAAAAGAACAGAACTAAACCAAACTTGTGAACAAATGGACTTAGTACACCTTTACATAGTATTTCACCCTACAACATCAGAATACAAGTTCTTCTGAGATGCACGTGGGTCATTCTTCAAACTAGACCATATACTAGCACATAGAACATGCTTAAGTAAATGCAAAAGAATTGAAATTATCCCAGTATGGTCACTATCTGACCATCGTGTAAAGAAACTGGAAATTTGTGACAGAAGAAACAGCAAAAACTCCATAAACCTGCCTGGCAAATGCAAGGTCATGAGTTAGATTCCTGGTACCAGAAAAAAATTAAAAAATAAAAAAAAAATAACACCCTCCTCAACAACCACTGGGTCATAGATGAAATTAAATGCAAATGCAGATGCAACTTAACAGAACCTGTGGGTTACAATAAAAGTAGTTGTCAGAGGAAAATTTATAGTGGTGAATACTCACATCAGGAAAATAGAATGAGCAAAACCAAATAACCTTATACTGCACCTCAACTTTCTAGAAAAAGAAAATAAGTCAAGCCAAAAGCCCAAAGAAGGCAGGAAATTTTAAAGATCAGAGCAGAAATTAATGCAACTGAAATTAAGAAAATGATACAAAGATTTAACAAATTGAAGAATTGGCTCTCTGAAAGAATAAAATTGATAAAACGCTAGCCAACCTTATCAAAAAAAGGAAAGAAAAACTCAAATTAATGCAATAAAGGATGAAATAAGATGAAATCACTACAGATCCTACAGAAATTTAGAAGAGCATCAATACCCACTCTGAAAATGTTCACTCTTAAAGGATGGAAAACACAGAAGAAATGGACAGATTCCTACATACATATGAATTACCAAAGCTGAATAGTGAAGACATTAAAGTTCTGAATAACCTACTGTTCATCAAGGAAATTGAAAATGTAATTAAAACTTACCAAAAAGAAAATCCCAGGCCCTGATGGATTCATAGCTGAATTTTACAAGAAATTCAGAGAAGATTTAATACCAACTCTCCTCAAACTCTTCAATGAAATTGAAAAGGAATCAATTCTCCCTAACTCGTATCTGGAGGCAAATATTATACTGATACCCAAATCAGAGAAAGACCAACCAAGAAAGAGAATTACTCACCAATCTCCCTAATGAATATAGATGCAAAGATACTCAATAAAATATCAGCAAATAGAATGCAGCAAATCATCAAGAAAATCATACACCATGACCAAGTTGGATTCATTCCAAGAATGAAGGGATGGTTCAATATTCACAAATCAATCAATGTTATACATCATATCAATAGAGCCAAAGACAAAAACCACATGATCATCTCAATAGATGCAGAGAAAACTTTCAACAAAATCCAACATGCATTCATGATAAAAACCCTACAGAAAACAGGAATACATGGTCTTTACCTCAATATAATCAAAGCCATCTGTGATAAACCAACAGCCAACATCATACTAAATGACCAAAAAATTAAAAATTTTACTTTAAAATCAGGAACAAGACAAGGATATCCACTATCACCACTCCTATGCAACATAGTTCTGGAAGCATTAGCCAGAGCAAATAAACCACAGAGAGAAATAAAAGAATAAGGATAAGAAAGGAAGAAGTAAAAGCATCACTATTTGCAGATGACGTACTACTTTACATGGAAGACCCAAAAAACTCTACAAGAAGACTCCTTGAATTAATCAACAAATTCAGCTGTATAGCTGGATACAAAGTCAACATCCAAAAATCAGTAGCATTCTATACACAAAAACAGACTGAGAGAGAAATTTAGGAAACCATACCTTTCACAATAGCACCCAAGAAACTGAAATATTTTAGAATCAAACTAACAAAAGTAAGAGATCTATTCAATCAAAACTACAGTGCTCCAAAAAAAGAGATTGACGAGGATTTCAATAAATGGAAGAACATTCCTTGCTCCTGGATAGGAAGAACCAACATTGTGAAAATGGCCATAGTACCAAAATTGTTGTACAGATTCAATGCAATTCCATTAAACTACCATTAGCATACCTCGCAGATATAGAGAAAATATTTTTTAAATTAATCTGGAACCAGAAGAGACCCAGAATAACAAAAGCAATCCTGGGCAACAAGGACAAGTCAGGTGGAATCACAAGCCCTGACCTCAAATTATACTACAACACTACTGTCATAAAACCAACATAGTACTGGCTAAGAAATAGACCAGAGGATCAATGGAACAGACTGGTAGAAACAGGCACAACCACAAACACTCAGCCACCTAATATTTGACAAAGGGATCAAACAAATTCACTGAAAGAACGATAGCCTCTTTAATAAGTGGTGCTGGAAAACTTGGCTGGTCACCTGCCAACGACCAAGTCTATCATCATGCACCAAACTCAAGTCAAAATGGACCACAGATCTCAATATTAAAACAGAACCACTAAATCTATTGGAAGAGAAGGTAGGTAAAAACCTTGAGGACAGCGGTAGGAAGACAGTTCATGAACAAAAACCAAACTGCCTATGAAATACTCCAAAGAATCAACAACTGGGATCTCATCCTACTGAAAAGTTTCTGCACATCTAAAGAAATCACCAGCAAAGTAAAAAGAAAACCAACAAATTGGGAAAATATTTAACTGAATGTCCTTTGGACAAAGGTCTTCTATGTAGAACATATAAAGAGTTAAAAAAATATCAGCCTCCCAATTCAAAGACCCAATCCAAAAGTGAGCAGCTGAGATG